GTTCTGAAACCTACACGTGGTACGAACACCCTTGATCTTATCCTCACGACCGCTCCGGAAACAATACGTAATACAGATTACCTGGACGGATTCAGTGACCATAATTTACTCCAAGTAGATATAAACATACTCTTTCCCGTAGCCGGTGTACATACAAAACAAATTCGGGACTATAATGAAGGCGATTATCAAGCAATTAACACAAAGCTAAGGTTATTTTCCGAAAACACTCTCCTGCCCTGTTTCCACAATAGATCCGTAGAAGAGAACTGGCTACTTTTCAAGCAAGTTTTGTGTACGTTAGTTGACAAGCATGTTCCACTGGTTAAAATTAGCAATGGTAAATCAAATCTATGGTTCAATAAAAAGCTTCTGAGAATGCGGAATAAGAAAAAACGGCTTTACAATAATGCTAAGTGCTCGGGTAGTTCTTCTTCTTGGCTTAAATATAAAACCTGCATAAAAGCATATTGCACAGCTTTAAGTAAGGCTAAGGAAAAGTATTATTTTAATTATCTACCCACACTACTGAAAGACAACCCAGCTAAATTTTGGAAAGTCATAAACTCCTCCAGCGAAAACCAACACATCTCATTGCATGACTGCAACAACGTCCCTCTCACAGCTAGCCAGTGTCCAACAGCATTTAATTCCTTTTTCACTTCTGTCTTCACGAAAGAGAACAGTACCAACATACCCAACGTAGCTGAGTTCGATTACCAATTTATGGAACCAATAGATATTCAATTAGAAGGCGTAATTACAGCCATAAATAATCTTAAGTTGTCGTCTTCATGCGGCGTGGATGGAATCAACTCAAAGGTGCTAAAGAATACAATAACGGTCACAAGCAAAATACTACTTCATATATTCCGGCAGTCTCTCGAAACAGGCATGATACCGTCTGACTGGAAGCTGGCGAAAATGATTCCAATATTCAAAAGTGGAAATAAAACCTCATGCGAAAATTACCGTCCTATTTCCCTTATGTGTATTTGTTGTAAAATTCTAGAACACATCATCGCTTCACATATTTACAGGCATCTGGAATCCAATAATTTCTTTTTCAAAAATCAGCATGGTTTCAGAAAGGGCTTTTCGTGTGAGACTCAGTTGTTTGAATTTACCACAGAGCTTCATGCAAATATGGACAATAATTATCAAACTGATTGCGTGTTCCTCGACTATTCGAAGGCGTTTGACAGGGTTGCACACTGTCGCCTGATATCGAAACTTTCCGCCCTGAAATTAGACTCCCGTACATTATCATGGCTTCGCAATTTCCTATCGAATCGTCAGCAATACACAACAGTTAACAATATGTCTTCTTCCCTATCTGACGTTTCTTCAGGTGTACCACAGGACAGTGTACTCGCGCCATTACTTTTCCTCATATTCATCAATGATCTTCCGCAACATGTCTCTTCTTGTATCAGGGTGTTCGCTGACGACTGCATTATTTACTGTCCAATCAAGAACAGTGAAGATCACCTGTCACTCCAAAACGACCTCGACGTAATTAATGGTTGGTGTAGTGCATGGCTGATGACACTAAATGTCTCAAAATGCAAAGTAATGTCGTTCACACGTAAACCTAGCATATCCGAATTCTCTTACAGTATTAATCATTCCATTCTATCGACTGCAACACAATATCGGTACTTGGGCGTAATACTGACACCTAATCTATCCTGGTCCGACCACATTACGGCAATCTCTGCCAGCGCCTCGAAATCACTAGGTTTCTTGAGACGTAACTTGAAAGCTGCACCATCAGGCATTCGCAAATTATCTTACTTGACACTGGTTCGCCCTCAACTAGAATATGCCTGTTCGATTTGGTCTCCCCATCAAAAATACTTAATTGACTCATTGGAAAGAATCCAGAATAGAGCAAGCCGCTTCATTGCCAATAACTACAGTCCGCATTCTAGTATATCACAAATCAAACAGGAACTTTCACTCCCACTCTTGAACATTCGTCGCGACATTGCCCTGCTGTCATTCTTTCATAAAATTACCCATTCTTCCCGAATCACCGTTACTGGTCTGCAAAAACCATATCTCACTTCACGTAGACTACACAATCATCTTAGCTATTCCCGTGTATACGGCTCAACAAACGCGTTCAATCAGTCCGCAATTCCACGTGCTATCCGTCTGTGGAACAGTTTGCCTGACGACATTGCATCCCAGACAAACTTTGACACATTCCGTCATATCTTATCAAGCCACTTCACATGCCTCAGCAAGTAGATGCCGTATCATAATTCATTGGTCCGTATTGGTTCATTTTTGTGATTGTCACATTCATGTGCGCGAGGATTCTGCCTTGTGGCCGCTGCATGCGCAGGAAATACAGTGTTTTGCCCACGGTTACTATGCGTGTATCTTTTGTACATGTTGAACTTTTGTACATGTTGGTGCTTTTTGTTTGACTTATTATTTTCCAATTGTTTCTTTTGTATTTGTTTTAGTTTGAGATGTATATAAGTATTACGCCCCTTACTCAATTGTTTCTTTTGTACTTTTTTTTCATTTTGAGGTGTCTATATGTATTCCCCCCTTGCTCAATTGTCTGTCTTGTATATTTTTTTCCAGTTTATTTGTATATATGTATAGCCCCCCTTACTCAATGCCCCTCATGGGGCCTGTAAGGTACTTTGAAATAAAAAATGGGCTTACGAATACAAATAAGGATTGTAATAGGACACAGGACCTAACAATTAATGGTCAGATTTTCAGTGGTGAAAGGTTGGCCAATGTTATGAATGAACATTTCATAAATGCGGGTTCCTTTATTTTAACGGATGAAAAGCGAGATAATGCTCCAACTCCTGATAAGTCTCCTTTGCCGTATTCTATTTTTCTCGCACCGACAGATCCAGTTGAAGTAGAAAGATTAATCAGAAAACTTAAAAACAATGTTGCATCAGGGATTGATGAGATAGGTTCTGTTGAGTTAAAAATGGTGTCACCATTGATATCTAATGTCTTGGCCTATATTATCAACCTCACCCTCACTAACGGTGTATTTCCAGAGCAGTTAAAAGTGGCAAAAGTCACTGCAGTACATAAAGGTGGTGATATCAATACTTTAGCAAACTATCAACCTATATCTGTGCTTCCAACAATATCAAAAATATTTAGATGCGGAGCATCTTATACTCGCGCCTTGTAGTGCGCCGTCCGCACCGCTTCTCAAACATTCGACAGCTGACGCGCGCGCATGCGCCGTCGCGCCGTCGCCCACTCTTCCACCATCTGTGTATCCCTTCCTCCTCTACGCACCGCGCGCGCTTCACTCCTCCACCATCTGTGCACCCTTCCTCCTCTACACACCGCGTTCGACATCTACAATTCTCCTGATTCTCCAGTGGACGCGCATGTGGCGTCGCGCTTCGAGAACATTCAACAGCTGACAGTGCATGCTCCGTCGTGCTGTATATATACTCAAGGTCGGCGCTCGCTCGCTCAGTTGCCGCTCGTCGGTTGGTTTGTACGGCGCGTCGACGTCCAAGGTCGCGGTGAAATGAATTCCAACGAATCCACAAACACAATGATCGACGTCCCTTCGACCAGCGCCGCCCTTTCGCATACGTGTGTACGTGTTCACTCATTTAACACCCCCTCCTACAACCACGTTAACCAATTTAGCCATCGACCCAAGTAAGTCGCAATTTAACACCCCATTTCACAACCACGTTAACCAATTTAGCCATCGACCCAAGTAAGTCGCACTTTAACACCCCGTTAACCAATTATATGGTCCGCATCCTCCTCAGTGTTCCCCCGAGGGAAGCTGCGGGCAATTTTTTTGAAGGGGTTATTTTTGATAGACTTGCATCCTTTTTTGATAAGCATCAAATAATAACACAAAGTCAGTATGGTTTTCAAAAAAATAAATCAACAGAACAAGCTCTACTGTATATCAAAGATAAGATAATCGAAAATATGGAAAACAAAAAATATACTCTTGGGCTCTTCCTCGATCTTCAAAAGGCATTTGACTCCATACAATTCAAATCATTGATTCATAAATTATCAAGTTATGGGGTGCGTGGAGTTGCATTACAACTGTTTAAAAGTTACCTTGAAGATCGTTACCAATATGTACAACTGAATAACACTATTTCTGCAAAAATGAAATTAAACCAAGGAGTTTCCCAAGGGTCTATACTGGGGCCATTATTGTTCCTTGCCTATATAAATGATATTGTCGATATACCTCATTCTCCTGAACTTATAACGTATGCTGACGATACGAATGTTTTCTTTTCGTCAGACTATCTAATATCACTTGAGGTCAGTGTAAATAATTATCTAAGCAATCTTTCAAATTGGTTAAGGCAAAATGGACTGCGCTTGAATGCAAAAAAAACAACCTATATGATATTCCGACCTATAAACAAACCTATTAGTAACATAGCTGTAAACTTCACTGTATCCGCATGCATTTTGAGTCTGTTTTTGAGTTGTTTTATTGATATCGTTTAGTTGTGAATTTTTACGAGAGTGACCTCTAATTCTTGAAATGTGTTATGTAAACTTCTTATGCTATTTATGTTTGAATTTTGTGTGTACAATTGCAGGTGTGTGTACAATATATTGTTTGCCAGTGCTGATGTTTAAGCTTTGCACTGTCACGGACTGCGAAGGGACAAGGGCCTTTGTCAGGCTGTACGCCTTTAGCCCTTTGCCCCTGCAGTGAGCTCTGTATCCGGCCTACTGTAAATAAAGTACTACTACTACTACTACTACTACTACCAAACTGAGACCCGCGGGACCCGGAGTCGCAACAAGGGGATGTTACTAGAAGTCATTGTAATGCAAATGTGAAGAAAACAAAGTGGACGAAAAGATAACTTGCCTTGGGCAGGGGCCGAACCTGCAACCTTTATCTACATTACAATTACTTCTAATAACATCTTTGATACTTTCCTTGGCATGTTAGTACGAAAGAAGCATCTTCCGCTAACATGTGCCTCCCAAAACTGCAGGCCAAGGAGGGCTTCACCAATCTGACAGGAGTTGACTTCATTGAGAATGCGGTGACTCTTGCAAGGAAACTGGCAGCCAAGGAGGCTGTTGTTGTCCTCTTTGAAGTAAGGCTTCCTCACTCTACTATTTTTGAGAGATGCAATCTATGTGTGGGGCAGCGTTGCTATATATAATTATATTCATGAAAATTTGCTGAGCAGTAAACTGAATATTTCTTTGCCCATGTAGCATAACTGTATTGGTGACCATTCATTGTTTTATTGAGCACATGTGGGAAGCACCTGAACGTTGAGATCTTGCTAAGCTTTTATTGTGTAACGTTTCAAGGTGGGCGACATTTTGGAACAGGAACTGCCATGTCCCTGTTTCTCAAGGAAATACGACTTCGTTTTGGACAAAGGTTAGTATTTTTTTCTGCTGCTGTATGTGAAGAATTCAATGGGATTGTGTGTGCACATAGCGTGTAGGAATTGATGTGGTAATACAGTCAAATGAAGGCTTTTCAAAGTAGTGCTAAAATGAGTGTATCATTGCATGTTTATATAAACAGAACAGAGCAACTAATTTTTTCTTTTTTTATTCATAGTGCGAGTGTCTTGCATCTTCATCTGCTATGCAGCCATGAATTGTCTATTGCAAGAGGCGTCGGGAACGTAAAATGCGGACACACATGTCCTCATTATGAACTTCAGTACCGAGTCCCTGTATCTTAAGAGAGGTACGGCAATCGTGTGTGTGGTAAAGCTCGCCAAGGTGGCAGACGGCCTGACTGTTCTGCAGGTGGATTCAACTGACCTGCCTCCCGTACCTCTGTTCAAAGATGTTTGCACAAGTTTACTACCTGGTCAGAAGAAAAGCATCGTGGAGCTTATCAACCAGTATTAGAACTGTTTCTCTTCGACGACTATAGTTCGTCAAACGTCACTGACAAAACATAGAATTATAACGGATGACATGACCAGACCCATAAGGCAAAACCCATACCGGGTAGCTCCGCAGAAACGAGAAGCCATTGAAAACCAAGTGCGACAGATGCTCCAAGATGATGTTATTCAGCCGTCAAATAGCCCTTGGGCTTCGCCGGTTGTATTAGTGAAAAAAAGATGACACCTTATGTTTCTGAGTGGATTACCGCAAGCTCAATCTAACCACAAAAAAGACGACCCGCTACCACATGTAGATGATTCACTCGGTCGACTATGACATACACGTTATTTCTCGTCGATGGATTTAAAGAACAGGTATTGGCAAATAGGAGTCGACGAAAGAGACCATGAAAAAACGGCATTCATGACACCAAACGGCCTTTATGAATTTAAGGTGTTGTTTTTCGGCTTATGATTAGCACCAGCAACATTTCAGAGGCTGATGGACACCGTACTACCAGCTCTCAAGTGGCAGACCTGCTTAGTCTATTTGGATGACGTCATCGTATTTGCTGCTACATTTGACGACCACATTAAGTGACTACACGTAGTATTTCAACCTGTACGTTCTGCTGAACTAACACTTAAACTGGAAAAATGTCATTTTGGCTATTGTTCCTGGGGCATCTTGTTAGTAGAGCTATTGTTCCTGGGGCATCTTGTTAGTAGTGAAGGTGTGCGGCCCGACTATGAAAAAAACGGCTGTTGTTGCAAACTTTTCAGTTCCATATGACAAAAAGGCAGTCCGACAATTTTTAAGGTTGTGCACTTACTATCAACGCTTCATTGAGAACTTCACGCATTGCCTCGCCATTCACACACCTCAACAGGGTGTGTGAATGGCGAGGCGATGCGTGGAATGACGAACAGCACCTGGTAGGCTCACCAATTATTGTCACAAATTTATCTCGGGAGCGCTTGCGAAGGGTTGTATTGAGAGAGAGAAGTGAGTCGTAACACGGTAAACCCATTTTAATATTACACAAAATGGCAAAACATGAACAAACCCTCAAAAATCACCTAAACGAGAAACATGCACACAGCAACTGGCTATCCTGCGAAACTGGAACTAACTTCAATTCGAGTCTAGTTCAATTTTTAGCTCTAATCTCTCTCTAGCCAAAATGGTGTCTCAGTACAGTTATGGTGGCTAGAGGGGGGTAGTGTGACAGGTGCTGCTTTCTCGCTGTGGGAGAGGAGCTCACGAAATGCAGTGAAAATTCTGGCCGCTGCGAGGGGCGCTAATGTAGTAAAAGGTGCTCATCATGCATGCTTGAACTCATTCGTTCTTGCTGTGCTGTGCCATTGCCTCGTTCGAATGATTCGCCTACGCCATCGTTTGTCTGACCACATGTTTTGGCATGGCAAAGTGACCATGCCGGTCGGGTACATGTGAATCGCCCGACTTAGCCAGGACAAACACGAAAATGCTTTCGGGATTCTTCGACAATATTGTGGTAGTAATGACCATGCGAATCCCGCACAGTTCCTGGTGACTGTAAATTGCTTATATTTTTATAATCTTGCGAGACTACCCAAGAGTGGGAACTCCCAAGCAGAGCTTGTAAAAGCTTTCCTTAACACTTCATCACCAACTTCAGGTGATTCTATTTTAGGCACACGAGACATCATAGAAGACATGTTAGAAGTTGGAGATGTTGACGGCGTTAGGTCTACACTGCAGTCTTCAAAAAGTGTCATATGATCATGGTAGCTATGCCATTTAGAAAAGTGACAGCTGTCTTTATTATTTTGCTGCTGACTATGTTGCTAAGAAGTTCAACAAATAAATCTCTTTTAATTAGTGCATTTATGCTCTTTCCACCAAGAAATTCGAACTCATTGTCTCACCAAACAGTGAGTTAAGTATGCATTTAACAGGGGAGACTTACTGCATCCTTGTGAAAATCTTGTCAGACTGGTGAAAACTTTGGAGGATGCATTTACATTGCCCCGCCGCGGTGGTCTAGTGGCTAAGGTACTCGGCTGCTGACCCGCAGGGCGCGGGTTCGAATCCCGGCTGCGGCGGCTGCATTTCCGATGGAGGCGGAAATGTTGTAGGCCCATGTGCTCAGATTTGGGTGCACGTTAAAGAACCCCAGGTGGTCGAAATTTCCGGAGCCCTCCACTAACGGCCTCTCTCATAATCATATGGTGGTTTTGGGACGTTAAACCCCACATATCAATCAATCAATCATGCATTTACATTTTTTGCTGCTGAAACATTGCACTCCTTCAGCATACGTAACTTCGTGAAGTTCTTCACAGATGAAGCTGAATAGAGTTGGCTGCGAAATTCATAGCAAAGAACTGACCGCAAAAGTAGTCCAGCTTTTTCTGCTCGGGCATAGGCCCTTCTGAGCATTATCTTTAAACAAAGATACGAGAGTCCAAAGAAAGAGCCAGAAACTCTTGAAGTTGAGAAGGTGCAGGTAATTTGGCTTCTTAAAGTAATATATAGGAAGTATGTGATCACAAATGTGTCATAAATGAACACGGGGTACCATATTTCTCTTGCATGTATTTATTTTGCATCTGAGCCCATAATTTAAAAAATATCAATTGTCCTAGCACAGAGAAAACAATCGCCTAACTAATAAAAAAAGTTTCCAGTGTATAAAATACCCTCCAGATACGTCCCCATCTCCTGTTTAAGTTTCTCAAGAAAAAGGTGTTAGAAAATGCAAATTATTTGAATATTTTATGCTGAAGGGAATCAAACCCCTTAGAAGTACGAAAAAATGAAGGTGGACAGTGGGGGGAGGGGCGGAGACAGAAAAAAAAAAAGCAGAACACTTCAGCGATGTGTAATCGCTATGAATGACTGTAAAAAGTTCACATTTCACCTAGAGAGACAACACTTTATCGTCAGTTTAGCTACGCGTGTGAGCCAGTAGTTTCACTCAGCGGAAATTTTAAACATAGTAAAAGCAGTGCAAAAAGAACGCTACGCAATTTTAATGACTCAGGACAGGCGCTGAACAGGTCCATGCAACACGTCAGCTAGTTCCATCAGAATTGAAAGCATTTTGCGCTATTTCTTGTTTTCAATCGCTTAAGGCCACTTGGAACTTGCAGAACATTCTTCTTAGTGATTCAAACACGTAGCACCTTAAAAAGCTGGGGCGCAGTATGTAGCGGTTGTCTAAAATGAGAAAAACTAATGCCTAGTGGCTATGTGCAAAGCAGTCAAAGGCCACCCCAAGCACCTATTGCGAAGGTGGCGCCATTTGGTGTGGCCGCCATCTTTCATTGTGAAATCGTGCAGCCCTCCGCTCTTGCCCGTCACACTTCCCCCTCTAGCCACCATAGTACAGTGTTCTAGAAGGTTTTGTAGTGGCAAGAGCGAGGCGCTTTCGTGAGGCTAAAAAACCTGACGCTGCCGGTGATGCTGCAGTAGGTACCACGAGGTGCTGATCCAGGGAAACTGGTACTGCGCGGTATAACGGCGCTGACTTTTCTTTTTTTCTACTGATGTGCCATTCGTGAAAATCATATAGCTGGCCGGTGATCATTTCTGCACTGCTGAAGGCTCTTTATCTTGTTATTTTCAGCAAAGTGAACCGCATGAGTAATTTACGAGACTGCTGTGGTTCACTTTAAACTTGAAGACAAAACTTTCACATTCATTTTTTTTTTCATAACTTGTGCAGCGAGAATCTTGTAGAAATTGTGCACATTATTTTAATTAAAAATATAGTACTATTGAAAGGACATGCTGTTGCGAATGGCCGAAAGTGTGTGATGATATGACAAATGAAGTAATGCTAGACGATAGTGGGTGTGTGTCTGTGTGTGCATGCATTCGAATGCCGCTACTGCATTGAACTCTTAAAGGTTAAGCTCAAAGGTACCCCACTTTTTTATTTTAACAACGCTTCATTAAATTCATTGAGCTTGCCAAAATAAATATTAGGGGTTTTTCCTCCTACGGATGTGAACAAACTAAAGGAAATGACAAACAAAGATAGCTTTTCGGGAAAGACAAGTAATTATCACTAGTACAATTCATCAAAAGGCAGTTTACTTCCCACCGATTGCTTCTTATAGCCATGACCATTTAAAAGATAATGTAGAACACATATATTTCTAGGCAAATTTTACATAATCACTGAATTCTCACACAATAAGACAACAGAAAGGAATATTTAAATTCAGAAATTATATAAAGAATAGGAAGACACAAATACTAAAGCAGTCGGCTAGTGCTTGCACACCACCTGATATAAGAGAATTTGCTTTGTCATTTTTGATGGGCCTTGTCAGGCCAGAATTTTGGTCTTCGACCAAGCTTGCTTCGTGCCCATCGTGGAAAGATAGTCGTACTTTTTTCGCTGCTTCGGATGAAAGAACACTGCAACGCTGTCTCTCTGGTCTTGGCTTGACAAGGACTTTAGAAATGTATGCAGGTAGGTCCAGTAACAGCGTTAGCACTGCATTTGCAACGAGAGCAGTCCTTCTCCGGGAGATTCGC